TTTAAATTATATAGTTTATTCTATATACAAAAATCCAATAAATATTTAATATATTATATTATATTTTAACAATCACACATAATTTGGAAAATGCGAAAAAAAATATAATACTTTATACAAACATTTCTTAACTTTTAATTAAAAAATATATTAGTACTATTTTTTATAATTTAAATCGAGTTTTAAAAGAGAAAGATAATAGAAAAAGAGAGGAAGAAAAATATTCAAAAGTAAAGAGATTGAAAAATTATCTTCGTAATTTTTTGTTTTCTTTTATCGTCTCTCTCTTTTTATTGCCTTTCTCCTTTATCTAAATTAGTCTTATCTTTTATTCCTCCATGAGAAAGTATTTTATTTCTGTAATAATAGATCGTTTTTTTTATTATACAAAAAGTACATGAAATAATGAGATTTACAATTCATTCATTAAGAATCAACCTAATTATGAATTTAATTTTCTTACGATTTTAGTCTATAACTAAATAAGATTTTTAAATATGTATTTTATATATATGATTTTTAATCAAATAATAATAAATTTTTTAACATTGCTAAAATTGTAGATTAAAAATTATTTAAAAAATTTAAATTTATTTTAAATTTGTTACAAACTTAAATTAAAAATAATTCATATTTGTTATTACGATCGGATTGAAGAAGCAATTGATTAATATAGAAACACAACGCGATAAGATTTAAAAATATTTTATATATATGTATTAATAAATTAAGTTATCAAACTATATTCACAAAAATCATATCATTAATTTTATTTACTAATATAATTATATTAATTATCAACTAATTTTTATTAAAATTATTAATTATTCTTATATATTTTTTAAATTTAGAATGTTATATATTATGTATATCAATTTTTATGTATAATAAATGTAAAAAATTTATTAAAATTATTGATTGTAACTAAATATTGCTAAAAATCGAAAATGGTTGCATGAACTATAAGGTGAGTTTGTTTTTAGCCATCACACATAACATGTCAGGATGGCCGAGCGGTCTAAGGCGCCAGACTCAAGGTTCATAACCTTATCCGTCTATGACGGGAGTATACGGAGGCTTCTGGTCCTCTCTGAGGGCGTGGGTTCGAATCCCACTTCTGACAAACTTTTTTTTTTTCGTTATTTACATTCGCATTATCTTGATATTATCTTGGCGTTCAAATATCCCGCTGTGACGAAATCCAGACAATTTCGAATGATACGAGTTCAAATATCGATAATTTAAACAATTTTATTTTTTTGTATACATACTTATACTTTTTTCACATTGTTACAAAATATTATTACGTTTGCAATTATTTTCTACATGGAGAAAAACAATATATTGACAGTATTATATACAAAACTATTATATAATTATATACAAAATATATACAAATATTCTTTTTTTTTGTAAAATTCCTGATTGGTAGCTCGATTCTTGATTAAAAAAAATAATGAAAAAATATAAAAGTATAATTAGAAGAATAATTTTCGCATTGTTTCTTTTACAAAAAGT